AGTCCCTTATTTTTGGTTATAAATTTGAGTTCACTGCTCACATATTCTTTTGTTGACATTGCCAGAAGTTTGCAAGTTAGAGGAAAATGCAACGTGAACTACACAAATATCAATTTTGCGTCAAGATAAGAAATGAATGGAAAAATGACAGCTCTAGAGTTCGCCATAAGTGATAGAATGATTCATGTTGGATGGCTTCTGACCGGTTTTAGCTCGTAGTCAAGTGCGCCTCTCTTCATGTATGCTGGTAATATTCCTCTTTTGCATTGAAAACACCTTATTTGCACTCATCTATATCACTTCTCATATAGCATATACGCCTTAAAGACGTTTTCTAAAAATTGCTCACTCGTAGACCATATTTCTTCCTTTTCGTAAAGTAAGTAATGGCTTAATCTCCACGACACTGCCATTTTGTGATGATGAAAGGGGCCAGCTTATCGAACAAACTTCGATAGTGGTAGAATCCAAATTGAGGATTCCGCAAATGCGAGTTAACTAAAGGTTTAAATTATCTCCTCTTTAGCTAAGAAAATATCCATAACCATACGAAACTAAGGATTTGGACTGATTTTGAAGCAACTGTGCCCTAATCGAAACTGTTCATCGCAATACGTTGCACTGCAAAATCCACCACCTTGCTCTCATTTCTTGGTAACTCTACAAAATGATAGTTTACTTCTAAGAATGGTTTCCAATGTAGCTTGACGAACTCTGATAGATCCAATAACTTGCAGTCACCATATGGATTGTCTTTTTTGTAGTCAAATCTCACTCAGAATCAAAGAACGCGGGTAGGAATTCCAGCAAAACAGTTCAGTTTTGCATTCATCCATTATCATCTTGTTTAAAACTTGTTCACTTTATTGCTAATCATCTTTTGCTTTGAAGATAAAAGCTGTGAGAGTTTTGGCTTCTCTTCAATCATGCAGCGATGAACCATACGTCAACTTGTGGGTATCAATACTCACAACGTTAGCAAAAATCTATGTTCATTCTAACCAGATTCATCACATTATAATTTCTCAAGGTCCTAATTTGGAAATGCAAGAAATTGAACTTTATTGAGAAAATCCATGTGCAATTATACTGAAGTTTTGGTACTTGGCCGAATAAATATTTTACAATATGCTTATACGGGTAAACCCATGAATGCTATCCTAAGTGCTCATGCTTTCAGTTTTCATAATACAACATGAATCCAATGGGAATGATTGGGGATATCAGTACAGGAAGAACAACATGACTAAACAATGTAGCTCTAATGTCAAAATAAATTGTTGTTTTCTAGTATGAAAGAAGGAGAATTATCGCAATGATTTATAAAGCTATGATCTTTGTGAATTCTAGAGGATTGTATTCTTAACATCTACCACTCGCATCACACGATTATGGAGGTAAGCTTGAATAGCACAAGTAGTTGTGAAGTGCGCCTAATTTTCTAGTATAAAGAATAGTTCCTCTATGCGAAAGACATTCTTCGACGGTCAGGCACCAGCAAAATGGAATAATTTTGGTACGCTGGGCAAAATTTGATACTTAAAAGGGCGCTTGGCTTTTGTAAGGAGAGAATTACTCATATATGTGTAGCATCTCCAGTCACCTACTTCCAACAATTAAAGGACTATTAAAAGAATCATGTTTTTTCTTTGGCTTTTAACTGAAAATACACTTGATTAAATTGTTAAATTTTGCTAAGAGTGTGCTTATAGCGTTAAAGATTTTATTTATCTCTAAAGTAATACAAAGATGGATGAGTTTGTTTACAAATCCATTCAAAGTGCAAATTATTTCCGATGATCTCCATAAGTACCATTTGTATACAAAATTT